TTCTCACTGATCTCCCCCAGTCTTGCCTTTCTCACTATCTCCTACTAGACCCAGCATCCCTCTCCTACTCCACCCACACCAGAATTGATGGCATTTGATGTCCTTCCAACACATTCAAAGTCTGTCTGCAGGTCCAGGCTATGAGCAAATAGTTGAGTAATTGGTTTTTGAAGTTGTAATGGAATGATGTGTCATGCAGTACAATCATCCCAGGAAGGCTATGCTGTGAGAAGAGATCATGGAAGCTAGAGGTGGTTCTACTCGCATTTGATGGATCGGTATATATGACGAACAAATAGCAGTGAGGCCCTGAAGCCCACCATGCCAAGCATCAGTACAAATCCATAGCAAACGCAGGCCATGTAGCCAAAGAAGAAGGAGGTCTGCATGAATCCAGACATGTCAGATTTTGAGTGGTAGTAGAAGAAACAGTAGCCATAGATAAAGATCCCTGTTGATCCTCCACACAGAACAGATCTGCACTTCACAACAGCATCAGCAGCAACCACAATACCTCAGTTTGTGAGCAATAAATGGTTTTAACACTGCATTGACAAAGAAATTGAACCCTAGGTGGGCAGCAAATATGAAAGAGACAGGTCAGGGATGACATTCTTCACTGATGCCTAAAAAGAACAGGATCAGCACTTGCCAGCTGCCCCGGCCAGTCCCGTGTGCACATAACCGCAATTATGTGACATCTTGACTCATACTATTATCATGATTGGAAGGAGAGTAGTGTGAGGATACAGGACTTGGCGGCACCCAGCAGGTGGGGAGCTCCTGCACCAAAAAGGAATCCGGCGAGGAACCCTCTCAGCAACAAGGTTGACCCTGACGCGGCCCACGTGACCTCACTTCTTTGACAAAAGCATAGCAGGCCGCTTCTGGTTAACAGTCCTTCGGTGAACAAGTTGCTGGCCAAGCGAAGGAGAACGGGCCACTGCATAGGGCGGCCCGGCCAGCAGCAGCCTGCGCCTGGTGGTTCAATAGGAGGCGCTGGTGCTTGGGAGGACAATGGGAAGAGAAAAGTGATGAGAAGTGGGAGTTACCTGATGATGGGTGATGACACACATAACCTGATCAGCCTCTGAGGCATCGTTGGGCAAGCAGATGAGCGTACAGAGAGACGAGACAAGAGAGTAAAGTAGGATAGAGTATAGAACAGGAAAGTAGTATAGCCAGTTACAGCATAATTAAACGACTGAGCTGTTGTTGTTTTGATGTTTGGAGTCGTGATGTCAGGCTTTAATTTTCAAGAATCTTCACCACATTTGTGTTCTTGGTTGGTGTGATCTTAACTTGTCAGCCTGCTTTCGACTTTTCTCTCAATGCTTGTTCTATTTCGTGTCTTCACTGCTGTAGAAAAATAGTGTTCTTATTGAGAGGTTCCTCGCAATTTGGTATCACAGTGTGGTTCCCTAACCAGCTCCCCTAGTCTGGCGGGTTAGGACATATGGTTCAGGCGCAGGCCGTCCAGCAGCACTGTTGACTTCCTCGCTAGCAAGTCCCCTTGCATCACGAAAGAAGGACACATCGGGTGGAGGTCACACAGATCACATGGCATTGTGAAGAGAGTATATTGGTGCTTGCCGTTGTTTAAGGCGGCACAACAGATTCATGTTGGTGATGCCTGAGGAAGACCGGTCATCAAACGGGGCATCAAAATTTGGTGAGATCATCTCGTGGTTGCGGCAGCGTCATCAAGTAAGTATCTGCAACCATATCTACTTTCCATATTTCTTCCTACCATGAAGAGGAGTGTTTCACTTGGGAGTCCTTTCATATGTGTGGCAAGCACATGCTACCTTGAGAGCCGCTGTAACAAGCGAGAGGTAGAGGAGAGAGTGAGAGAGAGAGGAACGAGAGGAGAGGGAGGGAGAGTGAGAGCACACACACACACTCACTCACTCGACATGACTGAGGGACTCAAGGGACGCCGACAAAGTAGCGGAGTCTCAAACTCGAAGTCTTCGAATCTCGATGCCGGAGGGGCAAGTCACACAAAGCAAGCACCGTAGCGGAAAACTGGTTGCCTGATGGTACGGGCAAGTCACTCGAAGTCTTCTGGTTGTTCGTTGCCTGAAGGCCAACACTCACTCACATAGACTTCCGGATATGCCCATACATACACAGAAGGAAGGGGAGAGGATAGGAGTATCACACCGCACAGGGGGAGATAAACACAGCGGAAGACTTGACTATGCGATATGACAGGGTACACTGAATGTGCAACTCACTCCACTGAATCCTCACAACCAGTCATAAAGGACAGCCGAGAAGATCACATCCATGAAACAATGAAATGATGATAGTCCAGACACAGTATCACACTGTTTATTATCCTCAGAGTCCCGAATCGTCAGGATAACTTCAGTACCACAGTGCGCGGCTCAGATGTAATGGAACCTGCAGATTCTCAGTGGACTGTACAGTAGGACGAGGGTGAAGCGTGGGCCTCGCCTCGGTCGGGTCCTAGTTTAGGTCAGATTTGTAATTTTGTTTGGCTGAGGGCTAACCGAGAGACCTCCCTGTAAGGAAATTCGTGACGGACATATCTGCAAATCTGGGAAAATATAGGCCCAGTACTAACTCGAATTCCTGCAGCTACCCTAACTGCGTATAGCAGGCCCGGGCTACCCCTAGGACAGACAGGCCCTAAGTGGCCTATGCTGATAGACGGTCCTATAGCCTATAGCCGGGTCCGGTAGCGGCCGAGAGGCCGAAACAGCAACGGTACCGGTCAGTCAGTCAGTCCAGTCTAGGTGTTACATGCAGCGCGTGCACACACGGGCCATTTTGCAGGCCCGACGGCCATTTTGCAGGCCCGACTGGATTCAGGCCAAAACCCCGGATTTCAGGCCGAAAGCCTGAAATTCAGGGCTTACATGCCCCATTTCGGTTCAGGCCGAAAGCCTGACTTTCAGGGCCTACAGCCCCTGCGACGGTTCAGACTAAAAATGGTAATAGCATTTTTAGCCTGAACCCAAGGGCCATTTTCGGTC